GCCACACACACACACACACACACACACACACACACACACACACACACACACACACACACACACACACACACACACACACACACACACACACAAGGTCCACCAGGGGAGCTGGGTGCCATCCGCGTAACGCGACAGCCTCTCGTGACCTGTCGTTAATAAGATGCTTTATGGATTAACGCGTCTTCGTGTCACCGGCGTCTTATTGTCCCTTACAACGAGTCAGACTGGAACTATGTGGAACGCAGTGTCGGAATGTGCCGCCGATTCATGGCGTGTTCTTTGTGATGAATCTTTATGGTATTCCTGGCAAGCTGAAACAGTTCGTGTTGGACCTTCACTCCGGAAAACTACACAGAGAGTTCCACCACGGTCCGGATCCCACGGACAGCACGCCCGGACAGGTCTGGGTACACACCGCCTTGATAACCGCTCGAACACAATCGAATGAGATCCAGTGCAAGAGCTACGTTCAGAAAAAAACTCACATTGATAGTAATGCTCTGTTTTGATTGCGAGAAACATTCACAGTGGCGCCTCGGGTTTTGCACATTGTTTTAATAGAAAAATGACTTTGATTTAAGGTGTTTTATCGATTTGCAAATCGTCTTGGCATGGATACGCGGAAGGATCTTTTGTCTTTCTTCTCATGCTCTGAAACCATTATTGGCAATGTGCGTCACACATTGCAAATAAGTTGCTGTTGTTTTGTTTTTTTGGGTTTTTTTTTTTTTTGTTTTTATTCTTAATTAGCCTTCTGAGTGGCTTCTAAGAAACAAGAAGCTTGCGATAGTGTACAGAAGCTCATGGCGCAGACACGCAGAAAGATCTATTGTGCTTGTTCTGGTGCTGCGCAATTGTCATTGGCCCTGCGTCACACTGCAATTAGAGTACTGTCTCTTTTCTCTGAATTAGCCCTGAGAATGACTCCTAAGAAAAGGATAACTGCTCGTTGTGCTATTCAGAAGCTAATTCCAATATTTCAAACAATCACATAGTTTAGCCCTAAGCTACCTGTACAGCAAGAAGACTTGGTCATTTGAAGATATTATCTTGAGTACTGCTTTGCCCAAGGATGGTATGGTGTTCCTCAGGGTTCACTTTTGAGGCCCCTGCTGTTTTCATTGTATTTGCTACCCTTGGGCTCCATCTTAAAGGAAGCAGGGTGACGAGGTAAAAGTAATTTTGTGGGCAGGTACGGCCCCTTTTTTGCCTGCCCATGGGGACGGGCACTTGGGCCACCCCGCTTTAAGCTATGCTAGCCCATGTCGCTGGATAATATAACAATATTCACAGGCACATCTGTTTTTATGAAGTGGAATAAGCTCTTTTTCGCTCGTTAAAAACCACATTACAAATATTTAGTTGGCTTTATTTTGGGAGGCCGAAATGAATTAATGGCATCTACATTCATTTTACAGGGGAAAGATGATCAATGACTTGTACTTGGAACACTTCCCCTCGAAAAATGCCTTAAGATCTTAGCAGAAGCTGCTCACGTCATCTTTTGTCGTCTGAAATGACTTGGCCTTTGTGTTTGTCGTCAGGAGGAGATCGGGGGCGACGGGGCCAGCAAACCCCCACAGAGCTCCTTCCAAAAGCTGGCGCCCAGCGAGACTCGCTACACCATCCTTGGACGGGACCGCGATGAGCTGTGACCCCAGCCGCCTTTCCTACCAGTCACCCTTTTTGACTCAGTGCCACACCTCGGGGGGTGGGGACGTCCGGGGAGGGGAGCTTTGGGTCAGGACACAGGCCAGCGGGACAGAACAGCAACACCCAACACCCTTACTTAAAAGAGAGATGAAGAACTGGAGAAGAGAAAGAGTGATAGTGCAAAGCCCATGACACAACCATGTTGGAATAGCCTATATTTTCTTAACTTGTAACATTTTATTTGGATTCTGGGGAAAGGTGAAGACTTAAGTGCGTGGGTGTGGGGGTAGAAGCATGAGAAGTATTTTTATGTTTATTTGTTTTTTTTTTTTTCAAGCTTGTACATATGTTTTTGTTCCTTGGCATTTGTTGATCTAAATTAAATGCACCGTTATTTTTCTTTGTTGATTCTATTCACCCGTCACTCCACTTGTTCTCTAACGTGGCTCTTTTCCACCAAGGTTACTCCGACGCCGCCTCATGTGGGTGATACTCATTATGTCTTCGTAAAAGCACAAGACGATATTTTGAAGTAGTAGCATCTTCTCTCTCTCTCTGCAAGATTTCTGAAGGATTAGAAACATGTCAGCTACTTGATACTACTTGTTTCGAGCTAGGTGTAGGGAAACTGTAAGTAGATTTGCCGTGCTTTTCTCAAAACAAAAACATCAGAGGAACTGTAATAAAAAGACTGAAAACACGTGGCCCATGAAGGCACATTAATATACACTCCTCCCAAAATAGCAGAATAGGATATTGGGCTTTTGGTTGAAAATTGACAGCGAACCTCAAATTCACATGAACACGTGAACTCAAATTGACCTGTAAACATTTGAATGAGCTGTGAAGTGTTTCAGTACTTTTGCACAACTTGCTGTTCTGTCACAAGCTGAATGGCAAAATTCAAGTGTTTGATCCATGAATGCACTGATGCATTCCCTGCTTCAATTAGAATTGGCATTTAAACAGGTGTGGTCATCATGTCGCTCACGTTTCAACATCATGAAACCAGGACAACACCTAACAATTGACCAAGAGATTCAAATAGAATGTTCTCAGAATGATGTGGCCACTGAGCTGAGTCATCACCAAGTTGCAACAGACACTGGAAGTGTCACAGAAAGGCATAGAAGTAGACTGTGGATATTGTGAACAGTTGTGAATTATGCCAGCAGCATATCACAGTTGGACATTGCATCCAGAAGTTTTGAGAAGCTCAAATAACCTGGCAATGGGTTCATCTTGAAATTTCATGTGAAACCCGCCTACATTGGATCCCCTTCATGTTTCTGGTTTATTGTAATGAATCTGTTTTTTTCTTTTTTTGCAGAAACCCCTTCATGCCTTGTTTTGCATGTGTAAACTTGAGTTTTCCTGCTTTTTCCCCCCATGGCAATTTTAAAAGGTGTCACTTGGTCATGAACAATGGGGCCACTGTCTGAACTAACCTTTTGTGAGTTGTTTGTATAATTTATATTGAAAACAACCACCACCACAAATCTAGCACCAAGACTGAAACAGCCCCAGATAGGAAAAAGGTTCCCTACCCCTGACTAAGATCGTCAGAGTTTAGCACAGCACTCTGAAGAGAGATGAATCCTGTGAGTTTTGCGAAAGTGGCTCGAATTAATTGTCTTTCTTTTCACTTAAAAAAAGAAAAAAAGATGCTTTTCAGAGAACAACATTTTTTTTTGTCTCTTTCCAATTCTGGGCACCCACGAGAATGTTTGATCCAGAAGGCCATGCAAAAAAACAAAACAAGTAAATTGACTTCAAACCCACAAATGCTCATTTGATCGTCATTGTTTTACAAAGGAGGACTCTTCCCTATCCCTACACAAAATCATTACTTACAAAAAAATTGTAATTGCCAAAGATTAGACTAAAATGACAAGTGAAAATAATTTTTCTGTGCTGTGCCACTGAAGCTTACAACCTCCACTGTGATAAATAATGAAAGGCTTTTCTTATCCACCGAGTGTTTTCCTCGAATCCAACCCATGTTTTTGTACACGTGCACATCCACATGATCATGGCTGTTGTATGTCAGAAAGAACACTCTTAAAAAAATGTTTAATAAGTCTCTGGTACTAGTAATTGATCCTTGAAATGGATCTAAAAGAAGACTTAAGATTTAGCGGACTTGTTGCTCAGTTTGTACTGTCCAATCGAGGCCAAGAGACATTGGGACATCAGCCCCAACACATGAAAGAATCGGGGGGATGCCATTTCCAAATAACTCATCTCAAGAAGGGAAAGAATTTGGGAAAGGGATGATGATTAAAAGTCATTTTACAAAATGTTGTGTTTTGCGTATTTTTGTGTGGTCTTTATTCACATTCAAACATAAGACATGTCTGGCAACATTTGGTTGAGCTGACGTGAAGCAATAAAACAAAGCATGGAACACATTTCTTCCTGAAGTGACCTGCATGTTGGCACTTGGGTGTGTTGTGTCTATGTTAATGAAATAAAAACTAGTAATATAAAGTCAATGTGACTACAGTAACAGCAGAGGTTTACAATTTTGTTGCAGTAATTTCTCAGAACGGGATGTTAAATTGCTGCAAAAAGACCAGATCCAGTTCAAGAGCGGTACCACAATTGTGTTTTTTTCAAAGACACAACGTTCCAAAACAAATAGCATATTTTTTTAGTATAATAACGGAAATTATCTCTCATATGCAAACGCGTTGTGCCGGAGCCTATGTGGGCCTTGTGAAAACCATTGTTTGATTAAAAACAGACGACAGGCCGCAATTGACCCCCGTAGCCATAGTTTGGACACCACTGGTTTAAACTATAAAAAGTGTTTGTTACTTTTTGACATGGTCATTTTATATGATTTTTACATATCAACGTCTGCAATGAGATCAGTGTACTATGTAAAATGGACAAATATACTGTACTTCTCCTAATGACAATTGAGTTTTATTTGTATTGTTTTTTTACACAGCTCTTGTAATGGATCTTTGAGATCATGTTAAGTTGACAAAACAGGCAGTAGTTCTTCCAGGAGAGAGGGTTCAGGTCTCTAAAAGTGTCCATGGTGTCTCCATTTTATATTTAAGGTGAGGCTGAACACACAACTATGTCAGCACAAAAGAGGATGGTTACGTACGTCCTGAACGCAAACGGATTCGCATCTGTAGTTAACAGCTCGCAGTCTTGATTAATCAAGCAAGGAACACGAGGCCGGCCGTCTCTCACTCATCCTTGCTTGACCGAACGTCGGATGGCGGCGCCGTCAACTGCTTCATCCGCAACGTCAGCAGGTTTTTACGGTGATTCTTCACCAGGTTGCCGCCCGCGAAGCCCAGGGCCCCGCCCCCAATGGCTGCCGCTCCCGCGGTTTTCAGTCCAATCAGCAGGCCGAGCGGGCCGGCTAACGCTCCGCCGATGAGTGCTCCGGCCAAAGGCAGGATGGCCAACTTGTATCCCACCGCCTGAACACACACGGAAACATCAGCGTTAAATTCAATCAATCTGGATTGATAAAGTTTTCAAGATTTGAATCACGTCAGTGTGTGATAGTAAACACAGTTTTATTCCTGCAACTTCCGTGACTCTGGCTATAATTTCTAGTTATTGTCTACTTATTTCTATTGATTCATTTTCAAAAAAAAAATACTCAACTCATAGAGTAATTTTACTCAAGTAGAAGGAAAACGTAGTTCTTTAAATAATTACTTGTGTAACAGTATTTAATTTTTAAAAAAAGTACTCAAGTACAGATTCTACTTATTTCTATTGATTCATTTTCAAAAAAAATACTCAACTCATAGAGTAATTTGACTCAAGTAGAAGGAAAACGTAGTTCTTTAAATAATTACTTGTGTAACAGTATTTAATTTTTAAAAAAAGTACTCAAGTACAGAGTAACTGGGGAGGAAGATCAGATTTTTTAAATATGGGATGAATGTCAAATCAGGAAATAGAACTGCAAATTCAAATACTTGGATCCATCAGTTTCATTACTCAGAAACAATGTGAGTTCTCCCACCTTATATCTTTATCTTAGGTGCTCTGCACAGTGTGTACGGTTTACTTTTTCTTTGGAAAGTATGTCGCTGACAAGTACAAGTCATCCAAAAAGTTACTCGAGTGAATGTGACGGAGCAACTGTAGCTCGTCACATCCCACCTCTGGCAAGACATAGTTATCATGGCGAAATATTACAAATAACAAACGTATCAAGCTTTAATTTTGCCAATTTGTAAATCCTGAGTTTGGATGTGTGTATGCAAGTTATCACATTAAGCCCAAATCGAAAATGGATACACAAAGCAGCTTGTTTGTGTGTGTGTGTGTGTGTGTGTGTGTGTGTGTGTGTGTGTAATGTCGTTTGCCCTGATGACAGATAACAAGATGTTTCAACGTGTTAAAACATCTGACGCTGCTCTCATTTGTGTTATCTCCATACACCCCTTCCGCTCGACCTTGTGTTGTCTAATCAGGACTCCGTTACCTTTCCAGCTCGCGTGGCATCACGCAAATGGTGTTAGCATTGAGTCTTCTTTCACACAGAGACCCCACAAGTGTGAGCTAACAGATGATTTGTTGATTTTGATCCCAGTTTCATCTCGTGGAAGGGAATTGAATCATTCTGCCGATGCATTTGCATACTTGCAACCTCCAAGTTCAGAAGTTGTGAGGTCTGACTTGAGTACATGGCGCACATTGCCAAAGAGTCATTGATTATCATAACATTTACAATCGGGGTTTCATGACATAAATTGCACACATTCAGGACATTACACTCATAGTCAAGCAGGAACAAATCTAATAGGAATGTGTTCCTGACGCCATTTTGTACTGTACACCGGTGATCGACTGCTGATTCATTCAAACCATATCTGAGAAGCACAACAATCTCTCAATTCTTCACAATTCTAAACGTTGCTTCTGCTTACATTATGATTGTGTTTGTCATGAAATTGAGCGCACAGTGGTTTGGAATAGAAAAAATTGAGGGAATGATGGGCAAACTTTGCCAGCGTATTAAATGCCATCCTGGCACCCAAAAACACTCAAATGAAGCTTCACTGTCAGAACTACGGCGGTGTGGGAGCGGGTACGTGTCAGCGAGTGTTGAGTGGCTCCAACACGTGATTCACGCCGGCCACGGCGGGCCAAACTTTCGACATTTCGAGCGCGTCATATGTGTGAAGGCCAATGAGGAACACTCAGCTCACTGAGTGCGTGCGCTCAAATGGCAATGAAAACACGGAGCAGTTATTCAGAGCTCGTCTTGAAGCTCCACACACGCAGATAACCTCTCCATCCCTCTCCTCTCTCAATTTCCTTAATTGTGGCTTTCCTCCGTTTTCAAGCGGATCAATAGGGACAAACGCGGTTGGAATAGCTGCGAGGCAAAGTGCCATCGATCTCCGCACGCACACACACACCCACACACACAGGCGAACACTTGTGTGTGTGCCTGTGTGCGTGTTCACACATTAACACAGCATACACACCTTCCCCAGGCTCTTGGACCCCTCCTCCACATTGGCAGCGGCCGTGTTGACGTTGTCCTCAATGCTGTCAATCTTCTCCTGCTGGGACTGAAACGCAGGGGTTAGACACAAGTGTGCACACACACACGCACACGCACACACACACACACACACACACACACACACACACACACACACACACACACGTTCTGCTACCAAAAGGCAACTGGATACAGATTATTATTATTTAATCTTATTGCGGGGGTTATCATGATAAGGATGAGCGTGAGAACGTTAGACGTATACTACAAGGATTACATTTGTTTGGGTTGTGCGTGTGCGTGTGTGTGTGTGTGTGTGTGTGTGTGTGTGTGTGCGTCTCATGAAATATTCAGAGTGGCAGCTGTCTTTCTCCCTATGAGGGCCACATGGACACAGTGACCAAACAACAAGGAGCCCGCTTTCCATCGCCTCCACCTCCAAACAGCATCACCACTTTCCATTCATAACACTTCACTTGCACAATAACAGGTAAAAGCTTTCTTCCCTTTTATTTGAGCACGAACACTGGATGATTCTGACTGAATATTTGAATTCGTTCCTTTCCAGACAGTATAAGAGGTGTATAAGAAAAAGAAATACCCCAAAATATGACTTTTGTTTTTCCTTGGAAAAATACTTTATTCTCATAATATTTGATTTTATCATTCAGGGCTCTAGACTGAGACCAAATTGGGTGCCCAGGCACCCAATTTTTTTAATGGTAGACCCTGCTCCTTTTTGTTTATTTGTGTGGCCCTAATACCGTTTTCAGATGCCCTTTACGATTCGGTTGGCAACGAGCATTTTTTTCCAAAAATTTCATACCGCTTTTCGTATAATCACTTTTTTTGTTTTTTGGTACAAACCCTCCGACTTAGCCATTCATTTCCAGGAATGGTTGTGCATTCATCCTAAATATTTTGTAAGTTGTGGGTTTGGACAGACGGCAAGACATATTCCACAATGCAAGTTTCTATGAGCAAGTCAAGGAAATTACACTCCGGGTGTCTCCTTGACAACACTCGGGCATCTTCAGCAAACACATCCTGTCAAAAGTCAGACCTTCAAAATAAAATAATTCTGTATTATGACATCCCACACACTTTGCTTGGCCCCCATGGCAGTTGGTTTACTTAGCAGTCAATAAGCAAACATTGTTTTGACTGCGACTGCTAAATCAGATACCATGGTGGCCGAGGAAGCCTTTCGGTGTTTTTACTCTTGTCATTTATTTTTTTTTTTTTTGTGATGACATTATCACCTCATTTTCTTCATTATTTCGATTAATTATAGTTGCCGATTTCACTGCACAGTAAAGCAAATTCATTCAATTGGAAAAATATATTAATTGTGTCTAATCATAAAAATGCCCCCAAAATAATAATAACCACGATTCTTAGAATGATCAATCTGAAATCATCAGCCTAAAATTGTACGGGAATGTCTTTTAAGCGAGGCAAACATGAGAAGGGCTTCAGCAATTAAAGAAATAAAAAGGACAGAACAATTATGGGGTCGCATAAACCTCGGTGTGAACTCAATTACTTGCAACGCAGGTCATGAGATGTAACTTGCACATCCGTTCATGCAGGCTGGAACCCAATTGGACATGGAAAAATAATAACAATCCAATTGTTATTATTTTTCCAAGAAATTAAAGCCTGTACAATTGTTTTCTCTTCATTTCTTCCCTTGTTTGTACCTCACCACATCAATAGCTTTTTGAGTTTTAGAATATAATGACCTGTTGAAATTTGTTTTTTTTTTCATAGAAAAACATTATTGTCATATGAAATGTCAGACAATGGATGGAGGAACCAGCACAAAACAGCACATCCAGGACATGCACAGTAAATCCATGGTGGTTGTGTACGAGAATATGACTCCCGCAGGGCCCCCACCCTCTCTCAACCCGAGATGCCAAAACAACATGTCGATGCTCTTTCTGTGCCTCCTCTCGCCTGTTTTGAACCATCACTACATCTTCATTCTCCCTCTCCACCACAATTAATCTCTCCTGCCTCTATCCCCGAGGATCGGGCCGATAATCTGAGCCGTCTGTTCGCCACCTGCTCCGATGCATCCCCATGTTGCCCACCTCCCCGCCCGTGGACATTTCCTTCCTCCTCCAAATCCTCCTTCCCCCCCTTGGCTGCTGCTCAAGCTTTCCCGCCCCTCTGCTGAGGGGTCCCCCCTAGGGTCACCCGCAGTTGTCCTTAAACTGATCCGTGCTCTCAAAGGAGCCCCACCAGCGAGGCAAACAGAGCGAGGCGGAAAGAAATGCACACGGGCTCAACATGTGAAAGCCAATTGTTGTTCATACTTACATGGACAAGCACAGAGAAGCTGGAGACCAAACTACTCAGCTGCTTCAGGTCCTGAAAGGGGAAAAGTAAACTTAAGAGTTCTATGCTTAGAGGCAAACATGAGAAGGGCTTCAGCAATTAAAGAAATAAAAAGTACAGAACAATTAGGGGGTCGGATGAACATCGGTGTGAACTCAATTACTTGCAACGTAGGTCATGAGATGTAACTTGCACATCCGTCCATGGAGGCTGGAACCCAATTGGACATGGAAAAATAATAATAATTGGATGACAAGAAATTAAAGCCGGTTCAATTGTTTTCTCTTCATTTCTTCCCTTGTTTGTACCTCACCACATCAATAGCTTTTTGAGTTTTAGAATATAATGAGCTGTTGAAAATTTTTTTTTTTTCCATAGAAAAACATTGTTGTCATATGAAATGTCAGACAATGGATGGAGGAACCAGCACAAAACAGCACATCCAGGACATGCACAGTAAATCCATGGTGGTTGTGTACGAGAATATGACTCCCGCAGGGCCCCCACCCTCTCTCAACCCGAGATGCCAAAACAACATGTCGATGCTCTTTCTGTGCCTCCTCTCGCCTGTTTTGAACCATCACTACATCTTCATTCTCCCTCTCCACCACAATTAATCTCTCCTGCCTCTATCCCCGAGGATCGGGCCGATAATCTGAGCCGTCTGTTCGCCACCTGCTCCGATGCATCCCCATGTTGCCCACCTCCCCGCCCGTGGACATTTCCTTCCACCTCCAAATCCTCCATCTCCCCCTTGGCTGCTGCTCAAGCTTTCCCGCCCCTCTGCTGAGGGGTCCCCCCTAGGGTCACCCGCAGTTGTCCTTAAACTGATCCGTGCTCTCAAAGGAGCCCCACCAGCGAGGCAAACAGAGCGAGGCGGAAAGAAATGCACACGGGCTCAACATGTGAAAGCCAATTGTTGTTCATACTTACATGGACAAGCACAGAGAAGCTGGAGACCAAACTACTCAGCTGCTTCAGGTCCTGAAAGGGGAAAAGTAAACTTAAGAGTTCTATGCTTACTAGATTGCACTGTTTACTTGAATTTGATTAATTGTTGAGCCATGCTCAGAGGGTCTGGAATGTCTCCTTGCAATGAACCGGCATTCACTGTATTAATGTAGGCAATTTTAAGGATTGGTCTTGGTCCCTAACCCTGCAAGCACAGGTCTCGGTACCTCTTCCAGGTTATCCCAAGACTCGGCAGCACTCTCTTCTACAGGTATCTCTGGCAGCTGGGTGTGGATTTGCCAGCCAGAAACGGACTCCTCGTCCATGTCGTCACCAGCATGTTGAGTGCTGGGCCCCCGACCGGATATTTCCTAATTCCAACTTCAATATCCCCACAAGAAGAATTTGAAAAAAAAAAAAGACAATTTAATGCTAATATATTATATGGAACACAGTTAACATCAGCATGTCAGCATTCTTACACTGTTCCAGTTTCTCAAATTACCCCTTAGGAAAAAGAAGTGCCCACCCCTGAACTAAGCTGAACTGAACTGACTCTATTCAAGTTGAAATGAATACCATGTGCCATACAGTCACGCTTGGTCAGGAATTTTTAAAATGTGACAAGTGACTTAAAAAAAAAAAAAAAAAATCACAAGAAGAATTTGAAAAAAAAAAGACAATTTAATGCCAATATATTATATGGAACACAGTTAACATCAGCATGTCGGCATTCTTAAACTGTTCCAGTTTCTCAAATTACCCCTGAGGAAAAAGAAGTGCCCACCCCTGAACTAAGCTGAACTGAACTGACTCTATTCAAGTTGAAATGAATACCATGTGCCATATAGTCACGCTTGGTCAGGAATTTTTAAAATGTGACAAGTGACTTAAAAAAAAAAAAACAAAAGGCACATTCATTACTCCTGCTCAAACTTGAAAAATCTAAATGGCATCAGCGATGAAGCACATTGTGTCAACCGGGCCTGCTAAATTTTTTTTATACATACATATAAAATAAATAAGTCAAATTCACTGCAGGGTCACCAACCTTTTTGAAATGGACAGGAACCTCTGAACTGAAAGGGCAGGAACACACTTTTGAAATGACAACTTTGCACGTTTACCATTAATAATATGCTACACTAATGATTTCATAATCGAATGGACCAATATGAAAATAATCAGCATTATTTTGACTGAGATAAAAATCACGATTAATCCAACAATTATTCACTTAGACTTCAAAACGTAGTATTTATTCATTCATTTTCCGATACACTTTCTTCTCACAAGGGTCGTGGGGGGTGTTGGAGCCTATCCTAGCCGTCTTCGGGCAGTAGGCAGAGGATACCCTGAACTGGTTGCCAGCCAATTGCAGAGCACACACAGACGAACCACCATCCACGCTCGCACTCACGCCTAGGGACAATTTAGAGTGTTCAATCAGCCTGCCATGCATGTTTTTGGAATGTGGGAAAAAAACGGAGTACCCGGAGAAAACCCACGCAGGCCCGGGGAGAACATGCAAACTCCACACAGGAAGGCCAGAGTCGGATTGAACCCACGACCTCTGCATTGTGAGATGGACGTGCTAACCACTGGATCACAGTTTTTCTTTTTTTTAAATTAATTTTGGTCTTGTTAAAAATATCAAGATAGGGTTTCAATACTAGTCTGGCCTTCTCGCTGTACTGTGAGGTCGACGCACTAACCACTGGACCACCGGGCCTGCTCTTAGTATTTATTCAACTACTGAAACTCAACTAGTCTTTAAAGTATCATCATGCCCATTCATCCCTGCGTGTTGAACACTTTATTTTTGAAATCTCTTTTTTTTTTTTTTTTTTACACTTTATTCTTGAAATCTCTCTTTTTTTTGTCAAGAACAAGGCGACCTTTGTAAATGCCACATGAAATTAAAGGCATTTTCATCCTGCTACATCCATACCGTTGATGCCTTACATCTTTATACCAAATCAATAAGCCGATCCCTTATCTCTTTACTTTATTTACACAAGACTTGTGACTTGGCTAAGCTGGGATCTTAAGTATAGTATTTTAGGTCATATCATGTGGAAATTGTGTGGAACAAAAAAACGGCCACAAGTCAGTCATGAAATTTGTTGCGTATTTATTTTTAGCGATTTGTTGTTGCAGGCATAATGTTGGTATGAAAAATTAATGACAGTCATCAATGTGAAGACACTAACCATTTAATGATTTCTCACGCGTTTGTAGTTTATCGCTATGACATATCAGAAAAAAAATCCACATGCTGAACCTAACCCTTAGTTCCTAGATTTTACTAAATATTATTATTTTAAATTATTAAAACTTGACATACTAGAGAAAAAAATAGGGCGGATCCTGAATCACAGCACACAAAAAATAAAAACATCTAGAAAAGTATAGTTGCACCTCTGATTAAAAAAACAAAACAAAAAAAACAAAACAAAAAAAAACGGGAGGAACCAAATAAATGTCAACATGGAGCACTTAATTTCTATAAAACTCAAGTGTTTCAAGATTCAAATGATCATCGTCAACACAATTCCTTGAAAGGCAGGATGTCCCTTCAAGGGTGAGCCAATTTTACAACCAGCCGACGGCCTACTCATGTGTTCCTCGGGGGTGACCTTGTGCCTGTGGGCACCGCGCTGGTGACCCCTTGGTTCGCGTCAACTTGTGGCTCACATGCTTTTTCAAATGTCATGTCACCCATGCGCATACAAAGGGCTGATTTAGTGAAAATGTCCTTGTGTACCTGAACTGTTCGGCTGGCATTTATGTGCTCCTGATGAAGACGGCCCCATTGTTGCCTTTGCTGGTACTGTAAAGAAGGAAGAAACCAAATCAGACATCCATCTTGATGTGGATCCCAGACGACGGTAACCAAAGCGTCACCTTCAGGATGTTGTTGTGGTGTTTCTGAAGCCGTTCTAGGTCGGTTGGTAGAGCCACTTTAATGAACTTGTGAATGGGAGCCTCCAGGCGCCTCAGTGTCAGCTTGGTGCCTCCCTCCGCCATGAGACTGGCCGACACGACACCAAGCCTGTCAGGCTTGGTCTCTAAACATAGAATACATTAGAGAGGGTAATAAGATTTGTGACATTAAGAGTGACTGCATCGCCCTCAGAAAAGTACTCATTTCCTCCCTCATGTCTGACCTCAGTGAAAAAGAATAATTGGTTTGGTAATGCCATTAATTCAATCTCAGCCTCCCAAACAAAACCTAAACGGTTATAATGTGTAAGGAAAACTAACACTCAAAAGACTGCACTGTATTTAAAAAAAAACAAAAACAAACGTTTTGACATCATTTAGCAGAATATATCACATTTTTTGTGATACATGTCAGGGGGAAAGACTGGCCAAATCTCCAGACCTTAACCCAAGAGAGCAAACAATTCATCTCCAGAAGAGAATGAAAGGAGAAACCCCCAGAAACAAAGAAGAACTGATATAGGCTGCAGAAAAGGCCTGGAAAAATATTTCAAATGAAGAATGCAACAGTTTGCATGTCGAAGACAGGCCGTTACTATTACCATAGGCAATTACAAACATTTCTGCCCAAGGGACCCATTACTCGCACATCTTTGCTATTCTCGTCTGGGATCTCTTTAAGTCTCTCACGGCCATGAAAAGTGTGGATTCACTGTACCTTTTGGACTGTCGTAACTTTTTAATAATAAGGTTTGTGGTGCCGTTTTGATTCAAATGGAGGTGAACAAATACGCATCAGCGATTTGTTTTGACAGATGACGTATGTCCCTTGAGAAGGACATCCTAACTTTAAGGAGTTAAACCAATTGACTCGATGAGCCCAAGGTCAGAGGATGTTGTGTCCCTTAAAGTTAGGATGTCCCATAAAATTTACTCGATGAGCCCAAGGTCAGAGGATGTTGTGTCAAGCAAGTCAAGCAATATTACATTGGAAAAATCCTATTTGACCCCCGCAAAGCATAATGACGTAGGAGATATTCATCCAAATTACGTGGCCAATATAATAGCAGTGAAACGCTACATAACCATGGAGTGTTAGGCAAACTTACGGAAAGAAGAATCAATAAGTACTTAAAAAACTATTTGACCATTTCAATTTAAAAATGAAAATTCTTGACACTTGACACACTTACTTTCTGGCAATCGACTGGAGTAGTTAGCTCGTGAAATTAGATGTTCCGTATTGTTGTGATCCTAGCTCTTCGCATAAAAACGCAGCTAAACTTAACGGACAAAGAGCAAAACTTACCGAAGAGAATATCTCTCAGGGGTAATATTTACAGTTCCTCTTCCATTGTGTGGCGAAATACACAACATCAACACTGTGTTGAGTTTCGGACAGCTGTTATTTGTAAACAAGTCTCAGCGAAGTGCGTTGAAAAAAATGTCCGACCTCAAACAGTAGGAAAGAAAACCACGATTTATCATTCCGCATGGGAGTTGAGTAACTTGTTCACAACGTAAAGATTGAAAAAGTGAATGTAAACGAGTGTGAACGTGCTAATTAAATTCAAATACTGTATGTGCTTTTCTTCACACACACACACACACACACACACACACACACACACACACACACACACACACACACACACAATACTATTTTACTTTCAGGTGAACATATCGCTAACGTCTATATTCTAATCAAGCGTTTCCCAGCTATTAATCAGCCAAGGCACACTAAATTTACTTTAGAAACATCTCACTGCACACCACCAAAGGGTTACAAACAGTATTACATAAATAATTACGATCTCGACACAATGGTATGCGTCTTTCCACACTGTGGGGACATTTTATCACCACACACCACCCCCAACCTCCCTATGAAATTTTCCACATGCACAAAATACAGCAAAATTTGCGCTTGTTGTGCTCATTTAGTAGCCCTGAAACAAAATGTAAACGTAGCTGGAATAAAAGTGATAAATAACTACTACTTAAAATAGCTTATGATCAGCTCTACAATGGCTTACCTGACATTGTCTCTGCCACTTGGTGACCAACTTTACATATACAGTACTAGAATGTGTTTCAAATCGTTTTTTAATTTGATGTAGAGCAGTATTAATTAATTTATTTATTTATTTAAAAAACTCTGCTTGGTAGACATTTTGCTCTCAAGTTGTGTTTCTGACCAACAAGCAACCCTGTTATTAGTCTTTTCTTACCATCTCGAGCACATGACTCAGCATAAACGATACATCGCTCTCAAGGTAAAACTTCTGTTTTTCTTTCTTTCTTTCCATCCGAAATGAACTGTGTCTCTTAAAACAATGCTTCTCATTTACCATGCTATCAGAAAATATACTGACATCCCGATATCGATGTTTTTATTTTTTTAAACGCAACGTTTCTTGATCAGTTAGCATAGCAGCTAACACACTTAGCACGTACTCTCGACCAAACTCTTTTAACACGATTCACCGATTTGCCACACGATTATTATAATTACCATAACACAGAGATAATATTTATTACATATTAAAAACAAAATTTCTTTCTTTATTTTGAAATACTATTCAACACTATTTTAAAATACGTTTTTTCGAGTGGATGAGCATCTGTTACTAGGGAGATAGCTAGCTGGATTAGATAGACAGATAGATGATTATAATAAATACAACATTTAATTAAAAAAAGGGAAAAGTAAAATAACAACATTAAAAAGCATTTTGTCGGATTTCCCCTTCTCTGTGATGAGCCATTGTGAGTGGGTTTCCACTTCCTTTTCTTCAGCACCTTTTACCTTTGACATTTAGTCCAACCCCCCACACACTCTTTCCTCCGTGCTTAGGGCAACATTGATGCACACAGTCCCATACCACAAGGGAGTTCCCCTGCCTGCTGTAGAAAAAAATTAAAATGCCTACTCAGGTTGTCTGTACACATGCAACTGCTCACGTCCACTTCCAGGGGACTGCCATTGTTGCAGATCGAAGTGGAACAAAATACTGTGTGTCAAATTGCAAATCATCAAAAATTATTTTGTTTTTAACATGGAGAATGTGTGTGTGTGTGTGTGTGTGTGTGTGTGTGTGTGTGTGTGTGTGTGTCAGCCAGCCAAGGGACTCAGGTGTCTTCCATTTCGGGTTAATCCAGGAAGTTTGACAGCGGGAGAGGAAGTCAGCAGGTTACGCCGATCACTTAATACCTCCCGCTTTTCAAAGCAGGCGTAATCATCATATCCAGGTGCCTGAGTGAAAACAGTCATTTATTGCAGACAATTTGATGGGTCAAAATGGGACAAAAATACAAAAAAATATGTTAACTGGAATAATGCGCAAAAAGACTCCAAGTCGCTTTAACACTAACAAATGACACTCAAGTCTGCTGCTCCAAAAACATGTTAATTGAAGACTCTACTGTAAATAGGTCAGGGGTACAAACGTGAACGTGTGCTGTTTGTCTGTATGTGCTTTACGATTGGCTAGTGACCAGTCTTGGGTGTGTACCGCTTCTCACCCAAAGTTAGCGGGGCTATGTTACAACTCAGGATTATTCAATTCATTATTTATTCCTACAGAAGGTTTTTTTCAGATCACTTTACAAATGGAGCAGCCCTGAAACCAGACTCTTTACCTAAACTGGTCAACAAAATTTTAAAGAGGAAGTCAAGTGAAATATTTTCTTTGCAATAACATGTTCTATGCGCCCCCACTAGTCTAAACACGGCATTCTGGTCAATATTGCGTTTGTGGAATATGAATTAAGCAGCAAAATCCACTCGCTTTTTTTTCCCCATCTGAGCGGGTGACCATTTTGCCACTTATTGTCAGCTGAAAATGACATCACAATTGCTCAACAATGATGACTCACCTGTTGCGCGAATTTTGTCAAGTGACATTCGCTAGCTGAACCGTGATCTGTCGTTGTCTGGGCCCTTTGCAACTGTGATGTCATTTTCAGCGCAATATTTATCACTTTTCCAGATGATACTGTATACTTGCACTAATTTTGTATCTGCCTTTGTTTTTGCTCTAGCACATCAGGTTTTAATAATAATAAGAAGAATAAGAATAATAAGAATATGTATTATAGTAATATATTAACATTTTTTAATTAAGATTTAGGTTCAGCAACAGATGGAATCTTGTTTTCAAACGTTATCGCTGTAAATTGCAACGCATGGTAAAATCCGAATTGTGCAAGCTTTTACAAGTCAAACTCAAAATCAGCATCAAAAATATGTTTAGGGACATCTAAACCCCTCTCAGGTTGAAATTTTCTATTGACAAGTGTTATTAAAGGACCAATTGAACCTCAGAGAGGAAAGGAAAAATATCTATGAAGAAAAAACATCAAGCAGACCAGATGTGCGTTGGCAGTATTCCTCGATCAGTTGAACAGAGAGAGAGAGAAAGACAGAGAGCGAGACAGAGAGAGAGAAAGAGATGGTCAGGGATGACAGAGACAGAGAAAAAAAGGAATCGGAACTAGAAGACAAGCACACGCAGCCACCACTAGGAAACCATGCCGAAATAGAAAGCAACAAACTAAGCAGCAGAAAATGCAGCTCAGTCGAAACAGCTACAGTGAATGATGACACATGAAGCATGAGTCACAGTCGGTCACAGAGTTGCGACAAAATTGTCCCCCAAAAAATTACACAACTGTCAATCAAGCGTACGACACTCTTACTGTTGGCCGTTTAATGCAAGATCCCACATCAGTCAAATATCACAGTGTCAGAACAAGACAGAAGTAAAATGACGGAATGACATCACTGACATCACAACGTTCAATGTCTGAGACATGGAACATTGAGCCCGAAAGTTGGCATAAGACAATAAGTCACACATACAAAATGGGTAGATGTTAATTGACTTTTTTTTAACTGCTCTTACTGCTTTTATATAGTTTTATTTGCTGTTGTTATTTATTTGCCTTTTTTGCAAGAGAAAAGCAGTGCAAAATTTTCGCTGGACGAAATGAAAATAATTTATTAATTCATTGCGTGAGCTCGTAATCTGATTATCTTAATGGAATTGCAATGTGTTCTTGTTGGATATTCATATTATTCAGATTGTTTTAAAAACGATTTGGTCCTGTTATTTTGAAGCAGCAAAAACAGTCTTTTAATGGTTCCGTTCAGTTTATCTCCTTTCAAATATTACATTCTTTTGAATTGACTGCTATTGGTTGTTTTTGGGAAACAAAATCAATTGTTATAATTATGGCAAATGAAATTTCATTAGAAGTTGGTAAAGAAGCAACGACATCCAAACGTCACGATACTATATTATTACGATATGAATTTCACCAGACGAAAATTATCACAATATTGCGGTGAAGTTAAAGATATAAAATAGCTCACCATATTCTAAAAAAAAAAAAAATCATATTAAAAAAAAGAGCACAATATTGTGCACCGTTTTTTTTAATGGAGGGAAGGGTAGTACTACGGGGTAGGACTAGATACGTTTTTTACTTCTTCCTACTCCCTTGAACATAATAATTGTGTTGAATGATGACTGATTTCTCTTTACTTTTTACTATTTTACTTACCTTACTTTCTGTCAATTTATTATTGTATATGTTTTTATGTTCAATAAACAAATGAAACGAAACGAAACGAATGTTGGTGCTATTTGACAGTCGGCGCTCGACAGTGCTTGCTTTTTTTGGCGCTTGTAATGGGCAGTATTTTTCACAGCCCCGTTTTGTTCAGCGCAGATGTCGGCACTGTTGGACAGCCTGCGTTGGTGTGGCTGGATGGATGGATGGCTGCTGGAGCCAATCATGTGATTGTTCAGTGCTCCTATTGGCTCAGCATCGCAAAGTGTCATGGACTATGTAGTCTATGTAACGCTCCATTCAGCCGACAACACGAATAACACTTAATTTGATGCACTTACTTACTCATGTGCACACACATTGTGAATCGAGTCAATTTGTGCAAGAACTCAAACGTGTTACATTCCCCTTTATCTGGCGATTAGCGTGGGTCTTAAACATAGGTGGCCACAATGTGCCTCATTCAAATTGAATTGCACTAATAAAATAAACAGGTTGCTGAAACGGCACTAATGGAAAATAATCTGTCTTTTTGAACAAATGTGATGTATATTGTGACATGGCGACGATATCGTGGCAATTTCAAAATCGGGATATCGCTATGTTGCCATTATCATTACATCCCTACCTGGTGGTCCCCGTATCCAAAAGAAATTCCAGATTTGGATTCAACTTCTTTCTGCTACGTATTAAGATCTGTTTTTTTATTGATTCACTCTTTGACCATTTTCCAATTTTGATTGGATTAGGGTAAATTATGAAGCCACAGCTAGAAATTAGAGTGAGTGTGCACATACACACACTGGGAGCTCTAATTAAGACTCTGGGGGTATTTGCTATCTGTCAGCTGGAATCGATTGTCCAGGAGACTGACACATCAATGTGTGTGCGTTTGTGCATGTTTGTGTTTATATGTGTGTGTGTGTGTGTGTGTGTGTGTGTGTGTGTGCGTGCATGCGTGCGCATGCGTGCGCTCATGTATGAACGTGAATACCTGTTACCTATTTGTGTTATTTTTGGGGGACAAATAATTTGCAGTAAAATGAATATTCATCTCCACACTGTATTAGATGGTCAGCAGTTTGACATATAGGAGATGAAAAAGAGGACAGACACAACAAAAATTCTTCAGCAGCGCCCACTGTACTATATTAAAAAAGAATGATCCATTTTGTACTCTCAAACTCATTACTATTTGCGCTCGGGAGGCGAGTCTCTTTTCATAACTTATCGACCGTTACCTCCTAAAACTATACAGAACCCAGCAAAGCGATACATTCCTGCAACCTTGCGCACTTTCACACATTGACAACGAATCACCCGCTGCGGACAAAACCCACATGAACGTAAGGAGAACATTTGACACAAGAAGGCCACATTTGAACCCAGAACCTTTCGAACTGTGAGGCATAATAACCACTAGCTCACCTTGCTGCTCGCCATGCATGTGTATCAACTAAATGGCAATTAGCCATGATGTCTTTCTGTCCATCAAAGGGCCAGATTGTTCGCAGTTTCCCAATCACAGTTGCAATCAATCACCTGGCTGTGTTGCACTGTTGCACGGGCGGGCCTGAGAGTAATGGCAGTGACAGTGTAGACGACATGTACCGGGAAATGTCACCATGGCGATCAATGCTGTTTAACGAAGCTGGAGGCTGATCCGGACCTCATGCTCAATGCCCCCCCCCCCACCCCTTTCTCCTGCCCATCTTTCCTGTTCCACTTCTCTTAATCCTCTTCTAGTCTCTTCTTCCCCCCCCCCATGGTCTGAAGATGAGGCCTTTTACCTGTCGGGAGGCTTATGCTTGTAATGGTTGGTTTTAGTAAGGAGCAAGAAAGCAAAAGAGCAGTGTAATGGAAGAGTAGTTGACGCATCTGCCATCTGAGGATGACTGCTGGAAGAAAACATGCGCATTTCCACAGTCATTGATGATATGGGGCTGTGTGTCAGGTAAAGCCACTGGCGAGATAGCTGTCATTACATCATCCATAAAGGCAAATGTTTACGTCGACATTTTGGACACTTTTAGTATCCCCTCAATTGAAAGGACGTTCAGGGATGATGAAATCAATTTTCAAGATGATCATCCATCTAGCCATAAAAGCAAAAACTGCTTGGTTCAAACAACTTTTTCAGACCTCCGTATTTCGCACCCGTGATTTCATTTAGTGTTTCCTAAAGCCAGAAAGTTGCCAGTTGATATGATTTTTGGTTTCTGTCATGTCTGCAATCAGTTTTTTTTTCCTACAAATGAAGCGACTGAATGAACATCTTCCGAGAATGGTGATTCTATCATTTTTGCCAGTGGTAGTATACTATGTTTTACAATAATGCACAACTACGTTGTATTTATAATTTCACATGTACCTAATTCTAGAAAGCAAAGCACAGGAACTCTCTCTTTCTGGCAATATGCTTCTTCCTTGACAATACCGCCGTTTTTTTGTGGATCAATAAAAAAAGAATTTGGTAAAACGCTTTGTGTGGAACCTCAAAACCTGATTTAGGGTCGCAGTTTTTCCATTGCAGCATGTCAGTCGATGTGCGGTGCTCAATCACTTGGTGTGGAGTGAAGAGTTGTCAACTTTTTTGCAATGGTTGTTTCAGTCGTGTTTAGCCACACTGCTCATTGTTGTCATTTAGGTTTATTGAAGACTCGAAATCACAGGTGTCAAAGTCAAGGCTCGGGGGCCCGATCCGGCCCGCCACATCATTTTATGTGGCCCGCAAAAGCAATTCATGTGTCAGCTTCCATGATCCTTGCTAAAGTCTGTCGCGAAATGTCAAATTGTGATGGTCTGATAAATAACGTTAAAATTCTGCAATCATTTTGTTACCCTGTTCACACTCTCTTGAACAATAATCGAGCAAACAGCAAACAAATAGCAGTTTTTTTAAGACGTGTCACAGGGAAGCTTTGACAGCCGAAACTGTCAGCTCGGTCTTCACCAAAAGAGACCATTGGAAAAAAAGAAACTTTCAACCTAATTGAACAAACTGATATTTGACTTGAGTGCTTACAAAACTAGTCATCCATCAATTTGTTGAGATGATTCCGTTAACATTTATTCGATTTCACTGTTGTAATAGCCATCCGAGGGAAGACGTAACTCCAAAGTGGCCCGCGACAAAAATGAGTTTGACACCCTTGCTCTAAATTGTCCATACATTTGAATGTGAGTGTAAATGGTTGTTTGTTTGTGACCTGCAATTAGCTGCAGAAGCCAGTTCAGTCCACGCGTAACCTGCCTTTCGCCCAATAAAGATATTGTGCAGTACAGTAAAAAAGAATGGATGGAAAATAAAAGAACACAGGAGGCAGAATAATCAGAACTAGTTTATGATTTCAAAGTGCTGAACAGAAAATCCAGTGAACCAAAGAGAAAGAAAAAAAAAACGAACAGTAAACTCAAACCAAAGGACGTGAAAAAAAAAAAAAGAACAGCAAGTTTTTTTGTTTCTCTTCTTTGAAAACAATGCACATGTCGTACCACAATATTTGAAAAAAGCTAAAAACACTTAAAAATATTAGTTTTTGTATATTTATATATCTATAGAATTTGCTTCTTTTTTTTCCTCAGAAGATCACTGCCGCTGTGAGTGTGTCAGTGGGGGCCGGGGGGCGGGGGGGGGGACAATGGGGTGAGACACACAAACACACGAGGCAAGCTGGTTTTTGACAGCTTAAAAACAACATGCTTAAGATGCTGGCTTCTCTGATGCGTGCGCACACACACACACACACACACACACACACACACACACACACACACACACACACACATACACACAGACATTAAGATGCACACACTCACACCGCCACATGAGAACTATAAAAAGACGGCGGAATGTTTCTTCTGTGGATCTATCTGTCGAGCACCTTCCTTTCCTCTCCTCTCCTCTCAGTGGGAGGAGCAGGCCGGGTGTGTGTCGGTCCTTCTTGCCCTTTGCAGGCCGTTAAGTGCTTCAGAAGAGCCCATTTCTGTCTCCTAACAGTTCCGTATGAGTCCAATAAGCGCACAAAAATGAGCGTTTCAAGTCTGAGTGAGCAGTCATCAATCATTAGTGCACAGTTTCTCTCCTCTGAAGCCAGATTTCTCTCGTACTTAATTCTATTGACAATAAAGGACATGTCTTTGCATTCAAATAATTTAGAGTTTGAAATTAAACCGCTCCTTATGCGTCAGCTCCTTACGTGATGAGAAAGCAGTCAGAAATTGCACTTGGAATCAATCAAGAACTCATTTCCTGTGTTACTGAAATCATGTGTCATATATATTGTCACTGAGCTCTGACTTTCTCTTTTTGGACAAAGTGCATCGCCTGCACTCGCGTTTCCTTTTCCTGCCAGTGAATTCAGCACACTGGTTAAACAGGCAAGTATACACAGAAACGGGGCTACCTTTCTTTCTTTTTTTCTTCTTTTCCAGCGAGCAAAATGTCTTTCTTTCTCAGCCTCCATGTGATAATCAGAAGTGGCGAAGCATTTTATTTTATTTTAATATATATTTTTTTTTACACTGGTAAAAAGTGTCTATTTCATTGATGGTCCTTTGGAAGGAGTTCTCTTGTGGTTATCCTGTTGGCATCACAGCAAAGTGACTGTTATTGTATTCAAACTGGATGTGATATTTTGTTTTTTGTTTTCTCTCCATCTCCATCCTTCGCCATCAGTAAGGCAGAGTGTCCAGGAACCTGTCAATCACGGGCGGAGGTGGCACCAGGTCCTCCAGCTTCAGGTAGAAGATCCGCTGAAGGCCCTGAGTCCTCTGGGAGCGTAGCTCTGCCCTTAAACTCAGAATACGACCCAGGGCGGGCGCCGCCTTGGACGACAACGAAGAGGGGCCGCAGCCCAGGTGGTCTCTGAGACAGCAAATCACTTTGTTCTGCAGCTCCTCCACTCGCTTGGAGTCCTTCAGGCCCGGGACTTGCTCTAGAAAGTACGTGTTAGGAGAAGAATTTATTAAACAACACAGGATGATGCCATCTTACAATGTCAATAAATCAATCAATCAAACTTTATTTATATAGCACTTTTCAAATTCACATCAAGTGCCATAGAATCTGCCAAAGTTGCTCAACAGAATTTTGTCAATTTCCTGCGGTAATTTTGCCATTGAAAGTTTCGAGATAATTTAAACTTCATCTGCAGAAAAAAACATGTTCTTCATAATGCGATGCTTGTGTATGATATAGTTTGTAAAAATTGCAAATAATTCCCAGTTAATTGTCTTTAATTCTTAAAAGGAAATGTCCCAGCTGTCCAAAATTTCTCAGATCCATTTTTAATGGCTACATTAGCACATTAGCACACACTTCAGTCATTAATTCTAAAACTCGATTTGCTCAACTCAATATTTCCATTTTTTTGAAACGCTTTCTTTAATATCGTCACATATTCCATTTCACTGTGTTTGATTTACCTGGAAAGTTGCCAACTTAGAATTTTGACTCACAGAACAACTACCGTAAATGTACGTTATTATGTTTGTTTGAGGTCAACCCTCATGAATTCCCAGAAAAAAAAAAAGCCCAACTTCTCCAAGTGAATCCTTTCAAAATCTGTCCTAATGGAAGGTTTCCTTAAATGTACTGGACATGTCCCATCCCTTTGCAAGCCCAATCAGCTCATTCAGCTGAAAGAGCAATTGTTACATCTTCTTTTATATTGAATTGTACCTCATTAGCCTCGATGGCTCAAGTTCTTAACAGGCTTTAACCTATCTCACTCACTACAGATCAATACACAGCCTAACCTAATAAGCCCCCCTCACACGCTGTGCGCACACACACACACACACACACACACACACACACACACACACACACACACACACGCACACGCATACACAAACACACACGAAAAGGACAGATATATAGAAACACTTGCTGGCACACAAATGCTCTCTGCAATTCAAGACAATGACAAAGACAAAAGTGCTCAGCAATTAGCTGATTATTCGCCCCGTGAGCAGCCAAATTAGATTAGAAACACACGTGTGCGCTCACACACACACACACACACACACACACACACACACACACACACACACACACACACGCATTCACACGCACACACACACAAACTAGTGCCCATAGCAACTCCAGTGGCACCCAAACTGAGCTTAATGTGACACTAACTCATTCTGCAGAGCACAGGGTGTCCACCGCCCCCATCACACACACACACACGCACGCACGCACGCACGCACGCACACACACACACACACACACACACACACACACACACACACGGGCGCTGCAGGGAGGCCATGGCTCAAACCACTTAAAGCTATCCATTATGTGAAGCTTATTTATTGTTTGTTTATGTGGCTCTTTTGTTTGCCGAGTCACTCCAGCCCGCCTTTCAACGTGTCTTTCAGACCTACGCAGTCACTCTCTTGTCTCTATGTGCTACAGCTCCTGTGGTGGAAGTGTGTGTGTGCGTGTGTGTGTGTGTCTGTGTGTGTGTGTGCGTGTTCGTGAGCGCGTGTGTCTGTGTGGCGGTGCAGTGGGTTTGGGGGGGTGATCGATGGCTGCCTTTTTATACAGGGCACTCTGAATTGGTCGATGGCCCGGTTGCTTTGGCAGTGTGCTTGTGTGCTTTGCCAGGGTGGCAGTGAGACGCTGCCGAAGAGCCGCGCTCCGTGGTGGGCTGGTCGATGGGGCGCAGAGTTAAGTGCTCCCCCAGAGAGAGGAGCTTGTGTTGGGGGCTTTAGACAGAGGAAGTGAAGGTGGTGGCTGAAGGCCGGGGGGCTGGAGGTAAATAAAGTCGGCCTGGAGGGGAGGATTTCACGTGTCAAGTATATTTAAAGAATTAGACATTCTTGTAATATTTGCATCGATAAATTCAAATAATAAATTGTTCTTTCATGATCTTTGTTTTTGACCAAAAGTCAAATATGTTCCTGACAGTAATATGTTCTATGCACCCTCACTCGTCTCAACATGGTATTCTGATTAATATTGCCTTTGTGACATATAAATTAAAATAACAAAATCCACCCGTTTTTAAGCCATCTCATTTGCCACTTACTGTCGACTGAAAATGACAACACTTTACATAAGGGCTCCACTTGCGAAGGTCATATGAGCAAACGCAGAAAATAGGTAAGCTGTGATTGGTCATTACCGATACAATTTCAACGTGCAAACCAGCGCGCTGAGCAATGCCAGCGCAAACAAAAGGAGAGGAGGCGGGGAGAACTTTCCGTATGAACTTTTTTGAAATGCCGGAAACAAAAATGATCACATCATATCGTCTGTTCAGCAATTTTGGAGCTTCTGAATGACCTTAGGGCTGACTTGGAGCCAGTCACAAGAAGGAAGGAGTCTTGCCATATCATCAATGACAAAACTCCTTTCAACTCGACATTTCTGTTCATCAGCACTTTCTCAAGCGTAAAACCTTCCTTTCAATAGGTAAAGCTTGTCGACTTGGCGTTGATGGCGTTTTTTAAAATATGCCATCAGAAGGTGCCCAGGGCATCTACAGGTACTTTGCTTTGCGTGCCACTGCACTAGAATAAGTACACCTGCAAAAAGTTTGGGATCTTAGTTAAAGATCCCACGCAAGACGCGAACCAACAGTCCATTAGCCTCTTTGTTGGTATGGCCCAGTCCGTTCTATAATTCCTACAGCTGGTTGGTTAATAATTAATCGATTTTATTTATTCATTTTTATTCATTTATCTCAGGAAATGGTTTGTTCATGTGTTTATTGTAAATATTTTCTAATAGACAATTTCACGTCTCTATTCAATGTTTGATTTTAATTTTATTTAAAATTATTAAAATGAATAAATCTTGACAATGCATTACTATTTTATTCGTAGTATTAACTACTGTCCATATTTGTGATGCACATTTCAAAATCCGATTTTAAAAATGGTTCCTCGTTGTTTCATAAATGTGTTGCAATCATTGTGTATGCTACTATATTGTAGCATACACCAAATCCCTGCTGTAAAAATGATAATTACAACCAACAAAGTTAGTCGTGGTCTGCGACTTTGATCAAGATTTGACATGGAGACTCCCAGTTAACATATTCAGATGCGCTGTGAAATGGCAATATGATCAGGCTGTGATTAGTTTTGCACTTGTTCTCTTCCTTCATTCTGAGTGCGGACGAAACTACATTTTTGATAATTAAGCCTGAAACATTGATTGGTGATGGTGAAAAGTGCTTAAGCCCGTTGACAACACCCTTCCTGCTTCTCTTTCCTCCATCCTTGCGCGTGCTTTTTCTCTGCTTGTATGTTTGACACATGCACATTGATTAGAGCGGCAGGTGTCAGGCAGGTGCAGCAGGTGCTTATGGGTATCAGGTTCATGTTAGTGTGAGAACGTGTGTGTGTGTGTGTGTGTGTGTGTGTGTGTGTGTGTGTGTGTGTGTGTGTGTGTGTGTGTGTGTCCAAGGGGATTCGTACACCTGATCGCTGTCACATTCAATCAGGCAAACATAAACAAAAAAAGAGGAGTGTGAGGCTAAAATGATGCCTTCCATAGTTAACACTGCTCATCTACAGTACGTGTATTTATAAACTCATATACTGTATGTGTATTACTAAAAATACACGGCATGTTCATTTTATGCCTCTTGTGTGTTTTTACCTGTGAGCAGCACGAGGGCGGCCAGGCAAGCAAAGGCAGAGGCGTCCAGGTTTAGACTCTGGAGATGGGTGGAGAAGTCTCGGATGGAGTCCAGCCACTCTCCAAAACCGCGAAGGCACTGGAACCTGTGCAGCACCAAGCCGTTACAGAACACTAATTTGTCCTCCGACAGGATCGACCTGGGAAAAAAAAGTAGGAAAAATACAAATTGTTTAGCTTTAGGAACTTTTTTTTTTTTTTTTGAACATCAGTCCATTTTCTAGAGTGCTTGTCCTCATTAGAGTCACGGGTCAGATGGAGCTTATTTTTGCTGACATTGAGGGAGTGGCGAAGTACACCCTTGACTGGTCAACAGTCAATCACAGAGCAAATATGTACTGTACACTGTAAAAAAAAACACAAATTGTATTTTTTTGGAGGGGGGATAAAACAATAATTTAACCCTTTCAGGGACAGCGGTTACTGCTGATGTTATCAGGTTACAGGGTATCATTATGGGTGCATGAAAGGGTTCAGTTTAAACAACTTAAAAATAAATTAGAATAGAAATTATTGACGACGGCAACAAAGCTAGTTAGCACACCTGAAATTTTGAGTTAACGCAGCTTTTTTTTTCAGATGTAGTTAAGTTTTTCACAGTGGGACCTGTAGAATCATATAGAATCGCCATATCATTTTAGGACATGACAGCCACTGCATTTGACTGTTATGAACATTTTTAATTATGCATTGAATTTGAAATCAGATGTCGGAACTAGAAATGCTCTCAAAAGCGATTAAAGTCAGGAAAATATCCAATTTCTGTGCAGATTTTCTGAAAAGGATATAAATCCATGAGCGAGAAACATGAAGTACAAGATTTGCTTTCGTAGGCAATCTAAAATGAAGTCTTGATCTAATTTTTATCTTGGATTTGTCACCAGGGATTTCATCTTCAATGAACCTAATTTTAACATACATGTTTTTGCAATGTTGGAATAAGACAGACAAAATGCACACAAGCATGGGGAGAACATGCAAACTCCACAGTGGGAATGCTAACGTTCAAACTAGGAACCTCAGAACTGTGAGGCAAGCATGCATACCGCTATTCCTCCAAATTGCCTTCTGTCCAAAATATTCTTTCCGTTTAGACCCCACTTGATGCCCTCTTGAATACAATACTTGGACTAATAGAGCAAAAAGCAAACCAAGGTTGGCACCATATGCGTTCACACACAATTTGGCCCAACATCAAACACCGCGATGCAGCCGATTGAGTTGCGCGTTTTCCAAATCATCGCGTTTTGAAACATTCCTGCAATTCTGGGGTTGTGGCAATGAACGGCTGGGATAAGGAGTCCAAACGGGTACGAGTTGAAAGTGCTTTGACCGCTGTGTGCAATGGAAATATGTCTTAATGAGGAAATGAAAAGGCTTCCTACAGTTACTCATGACACAGAACCGAGAGGGGGCGGGAGATTGAGAGCTTGTGCATAAGCGAGGGCTATAAAGCGCTCTTTATGAGGGTCTGACTAAACAGCATGCTCCCTTCTTATTAGGAGCCTTCATAAATAAACCCCCAATCAAAGGGAAGACAGATGGAAAGATGCAGGTAAAATGAGCAAAGATACGCGACGTGCTTGGGAAAACAGCTTTAAGCTCGAGGAATCTCAGAAGGGTGAAATCTTATCGAATCTTCACCTCACGCCGCGCTGTGCTGCATTCTTGCACGTACTGTAAATTAAGTGGAAACTGAATTTCCCCTTTAAAGCCAATGACAAGATAATCGTCTCATTGTACCCTTTGCAAATAATGACGTCTCTAGACTTTGAACTGTTCTTGACGATAATACTTGAATGATCAATTGGTTACGCCTCTTCAGGGCTTGACTGTCAGCGGTTTTCCCACAATGTCCAGTTTACCACAATCTATTTGCAATCGTACTGTTCTTTTCGGTTATGTTACTGAGATGTTTCTTAGTCTTCCATTAAATGCACCACTGCAACACCAATACTCCGATCATACTGTACAACGTCGCTCGTCGAGGCAGATGGCCACCCACACTGAAAAGCTGATCTCTGCAAAATGCAGGTGCAGAAGGTCAATCAGTAAAATGTCTGCATTGATTTGTAAATGTTGTCATGGAAAATGTGGGATACTGAAAAATGTGCGACTTTTTGGAATGCGAAGTGGTGGATTAACTATTCCAGAAACCAAAAATATACTGTAGTGTATATTTTCATAATGACTAATGCTGTTGATTTCAGGCCATAGCGTAACATTTATGTTTATTACATTGGTTGTTGAAACCAGTAAACCGTAACTGCTTATAATCAGGCCGATCAAATTACAACCCGTCATGACGTGGCTAAAAACAAAAACATTCCAAAGAAGAATCTGGAATGTGTGACCTCAAGAAATTGGCTAAATCAGATGAAAAGCATTACTAGCGTAAAAAATGACTGTGAAAATCCGCAATTTCTAGCATCATATAGATATTCGGATATGACGCATGTATCTAAGGACGCTCATGTGCCGGAGCACGGAGAGACCACATCCACGTTATATACGGTTGGATTTCTGCCACACATTCCGCTCACCCCTGACAACGTTGTCGCCACGGCAACCCACCCATAACCACACAAACTGTTTGGTGACGGGGCCGCTTGTACGGCGACGGAGGAGTAAATTTACTCGCACGCACACACACCGACAACACTGACCTCCCACTCTGACGAACACGCAGACATACGCTCGCACGAAGGGGGCCTGACAGGCGTCCGAGTTCAACGCGGGGTCAACGCGGCATCGACGGTTAATGGGGGCTCACGGTGCCATGTGTGTTCCATGCTCAGAGCTTGTGTATGTGTGTGCGTGTGAACGAGGTCGCCATGAGTCCGCTGTTTGGGATGATTCACAGTCCCAGCCGGAGCCTTCCCCTCCCGCTGGAACTGTGATGCCACCACCCATCTTCTACCCACCCTGCACCTGGACCTAGCAGGGTGCAGGAGAACAAAGTTGTACATCATCAATGTGTGTGCGTGTGTTTGGGTGAGTAAGTGTGTCTGACTGTATTGGTTTTTTGGCCCTAGACGACAGCCGGGACAAAAGGATGAGCTTGTAGGCCAAGCCCCCTCCTCGCCATAAATTTAACTAGCCGCATGCCTTGCCAGGGCAGAGCGGTAACCGTGGCGATGCTGAGGCTCAAGATGGCCCTGGGGGAGTCCTGATGGCACCAAGTAGCAGTATCTGAATTCTTTTTTTTTTTTTTTTTTTTTTTTTTACATGTAAGTCAGCTGAATTGAGCATGAGTTTCCTGCCATAAATTGTCAGCTGACCTGCTTTTTAGTAGTTTTGATCTCGTCAGTTCTAGAAATGACGCACGCACACACGCGCACACAAACACACGTACAGACACACACAAAGGCTGCTTGTGCGTCACACATCAGACGAGCGGAACTCCGTGGGTGTAGCTGCTGTCATAGACACCGACTCCATTCATAATTCCTTTCATATGGTTGACCATTCATCTCCAGATACAACAAAACAGCAGCGCCTGCTGTACAGTAGTGGCCGATAAGACTGGTCAACAAATCTTTACTCCAATGTTTTTAACTATAGAGGCGAATAAACTTTTCTCTGTGAATTATTCAGTCATCCTCGATAGCCCGGGTGTTGACAGGGTTGTCATGGCCACTTTTGAGCGCCTCGTTGTCGTGACATGGAAAAAGCCCGTGATGACCCGTTGGGATATCGTCACTGGTTTTCATCCATGTGGCAGAGGTTTGACAGTATGGGAACATATTTTGGGGGAGGGATCGGTGATATCAGGACATTTTCTGTTGCAGGGAGTTGGTATATGTTTGAAGGTCAATTGCCTGGCGTGTGAGTGACTGTCATTTAGGGTCAACTGGGATATGTTCTGGCCAGTGATGTCAGTAAGGCGTTGAACAAAGAATTGACAAAAATTAAAAAATCTCAGCCACCGTGCCTCCCTCACACACGCGTATTGTGCATGCAACAAAAATAATAGTCAATGAATCATAAAATCCTGATTCCTCACGCCAGCGTACTCAGTAAAGGCGCTCAACAAATAATTGTATATTATGGTACACATAGGAAAGGGAAACTGGTATTCACAGCTTGAACATACGTATGTAGTGAGGCATTGTGGGAGACTTCCACTTCACATTATCGCTTGAGGGAGAGACATCATGTATCATGCGTTTTGTCACGTTTTCAGCGCATTGACAACTCACATGTCCTTACAAGAAGAACAAGTGAGGAAGGAGAGAGATGGCAATAGTCACTAAAAACAAAAATACTCAGATCTGTTGCAAACTCTTTGCTGTTGACAGAGTGTTTTCTAGCTTCAATAACATCTCATACGTATTTTTTTTCTTAAACCTGGGTCGTAGCGCAGCATGCATTCAATCTTAACGAGAGAGTCCCACTAGATTGTGTGCCTGCAGGACGTCCACAAATGTAATCGTTATCATTTATAAACAATGTACATGAGTAATATATATAATAATAATAAATGTTGATAAAAAAGAGTTTGGCCATTACAACAATAGTAGTTAAAGATATCAAGTCACATAAAAATTATTAGGTCAAGTGAAATCCAGAAAAGACTCTTAACTTTTTTAAATTAAAAAATGTGGTCTTTATTTTATTTTTAATGAATTTCTTTTCTTACCGTAAACGAGACTGCACTTCCAGTCAAGTGGCAAAACCACAAGTCGTTTTTATGTTCAGCAGGGTTGTCGGTGTCTCGTTAATGTAACTATCAAAGTCACTTGTAATCTCACTTAGTTACTTTTAAAAGTAAGGAATCTTTTTCAAAGTAATTGTGGCAACACTGGTACTGGCCAACCACAGTTCCACATAGAGGTGATACATTAGTTAAAGTTCTCACCTTCCTCTACATACTGTCACGTTTTTTTTCTTCTCACCTGTGAGCCAATCGCAAGACAAACAGCTCCAGGAAGGCGGAATCTATTAACAGGTTCTGATCATCCCGGTGGAGCTCGGAGAAGCCTGGCAGTCGGTCGGCCCAGCACCGTGTGGTCTCCATCGAAATGGTGAGGAGCCTGTAGAACAGGTGGATGTGCTCTGCGTCTGAGGAGGACGAAGGAGGGTCAGCAGCGCTGAACTGCCGGGGACGGTGAGAAAGAGCACAGAAAAACGCAAAAGACGTTAGTGTTTGTATGGAGCTTCTCACTGACCACACATTTGGACCCCTGTTGTGCTACCTGGCTATAGTCAAGGTCATGGGGTGTGCAGTGCGAATAAGCCCTGAGCAGAGCGGAGATCAGGCTGAGGGGTGGCGAGGGAGGGGCCACCTCTGTCTGCAGCGGGCTCTTTGGTTTGGAGGGCAAACGTCCACGACGCCCCTTCAAGCTATCGGTGCGTACCACTGTGGAGCAATAAGAGTCAACATGAACGTGCATATTGAAGCAGCTGTTTACACAACACGCATAAAGAACGCCTGTCTCCAAGCGGATAAGTCTGTTATTGGTATTTTTTTTTCAGGGGTGTTGAAGAAACTGAAAGGATGATATTCTGCACAGGGGCCCTGCGGCGTTCCCACACTGGAGGCTACCAACCAGCAGGTGGCAGTACGAGAGGTGGCAGGTGGCAGTATGAGTTGCGGCTATATACTTGATGATGAGAGAGACAGATGCTCGTTTTCTGGGAGATAGAGAGGGACCGATGTTGCCAACTAATTTATTGAAGGACGTTGCGTTGCGGGATGAAGTCATTAGGATACAGATGAACATAGATTACAGAGTGGCATGAGGCTACTCGACGTGACGTGCCGTGTTGTGTAAATTACCTCAAGACATTATTAGTCAATGGCTACTTTCCTCCAAAAGTAAATGAAATAGTTAGTCATTGCTCCTTCGTGAATGTAATTAGTCACCAGGGAAAGTAATGACATTCCGTTTTTTGAAAAACCCTAAAATATGTCAAAGAAGTCAGATTTAGGAGGTTGTTTTCACAGGCCAGTTATGTTGCGTAGAACAGCGTAGACGGATACTTTATTTCATTAAATATTTATTGAACTTTAAATAACGACCGGTAGACATAATGTACCGATAGGCCCTATTTGAAGTATTCTCTAAAAGTGTTTCTAACTAAAAAAAAAAAAAAAAAAAAAACAGTCAGGCAGCTTCAATACAAAAATTATTTTAACAAAATATTCTCCATAACAGTGAACTATGGTTTTTCAAAATGAAATGAAAGACTCAAAATTAATTTATAAACACATTTTAATTTACAAATATGCAAATCTTATTTTTTTTTTTCGATTTTCAATCATAGTTTATTTTTCGACAAGCCTTTTGTTTTCTAATAATTCTAAACAAATTTAAAGGCAATATACTCGTTGCTAAGTGCTCTGGGCCCCGGGAGAGTGGAGGGGGTGGGGTGGTGCGAGCTCCTTGGGTACAATGAAAAGTTGCTCAATCTAGCAACAAGAGTGCAAGGGAAGGTGGCAATGAGAGGGAACCTCATGGATGTGTTTATTGTCTCAGTAATGCGCAAAGCCCCGAGTGTGCTATATTAACATTGTGACTAAATGTGAAACTATAACATTGTAAATGTAGGCCCTTTTTTTTTTTTTGACAATAGAGGGTGTGGTGTCTTTAACTTTGCTCACTCGATGTTGATCGGAGCACACGATTATATTGAGTGGGATGCAGTGGATATCGGGGAAAATAACCCAAATGCGATAATGTGTTTGCAAAAGTGTGCACACCACCTTAACTAACCGAGGATACCCACTCATATTTGCCACAATTTACACCATGTCTGATGAACACAAAATGGAGTTCAGCTGTTCTAGTAGGCTTTTTTTGACTTTACTATTTGTTTTTCATGCTAATACTTGCTTATTTGGAATTGGTCAGGATTTTCCCCACCAATCACATTCAAAGTCATGTTAAATGGGAGTCAGCACACCCCTGACACTATTAAAGGTGGCTTTGATTATCCCAAAATAAGGTTCAGTTATTTTAATAGGCATTTCCTGGCATTGTTTTTCTGCCAGCAGCATGAATGTTTTGTACTCACACTGACAGGTTATTTGGAACTGTTCGTAATTCCCTCCACTTTGATGAAAGCCCCAAATCCATCTGAAGAAAAACTGGCACCACCATGCCTCACTTGTGTTTTTTACCCTCAAATATATTGATTTTATCCTCTTGATGGTAACTTTTTACCTCTTGACAAGGTAGAAACGTTTGACCCTTGAAAATTCTACTTTTTCAACTTGCGTATTCACCTGTAGTTTTACGGTTCTGGAAAGTTACCTTGGATCTCAGTTCTAAATCCTGATAACACAACGACTCTAACCCTGTTTCCGATATGCAACTAGAGACATGGATGATTGATACAGGATAGTTAGCATAAAGCTGTTGAGTCTTCCTACCTTCCTTGACCATGCCCACACTCAGACACTTCTGGAAGCGGCAGTACTGGCAGCGGTTGCGTCGCCTTTTGTCCACAGGACAGTTCTTACTGGCCAGACACACATACTTGGCGTTCTTCTGCACGGTGCGCTGTAGAGAAGGAAAAAAAAAAAAAAAAGAACAAACGGACATTCCGACAATCAGCCTCCAAACATAATCGACCACCAAATATTTGATATGTTAAATTCAATTCAAGCTCTTGCCTCCTTCGCCGGCAAAGAATGAAAGCAGAAGCTCGCAGGTCAGTTTTTAATTACGCGCTGAAAGGCGACGCTGACATCAGTATAATTAGATAAAATTAATTTCCCAACAAGCGTTGCCTGCAGGGGGAACAAATTTATTAGCGCGGGGCCTGACAATGGTGGCCGCGTGTGTGGCGTGCTGAGGAGGCTCCCGCGAGACAGGCGGCAGGAAGGAAGGAGCTGCGTGATCAGATTGTTTGTGAAGCTCGCGGGTCAGTCCGTGGCACCTCGGGGGCCTCGCGGGGTCGCGCCTCTCTCAATAGGCCCCGAGGGAGCTGTTTTCTCCTCTGCTGGTTCGCGCGATTATTACTGACCTTATTAAAATGAAATCAGAAACGGGTCGCGTGGAGACTGTGTGTGCTTCCCGCGTGGACAACAATAACAAATATGGTCGTGATTGTCTTTGTACTCCCGCGCGGGCATGCAAAAATTATGCTTTAACGGCTGTATGTAAAGGGATCCCTCTGCGTATCATAAACAATAAAAGGTGTGGGTAGATGTCACGAATTGAGCCATACTGTATATGGCCATCGTTCAATTAAATGTTGACTGTAGTTGTGAGTGTTCAATGAGACAAATGTGGAGAAACATATTTTTCATGTTTGGACAACATAAATGAACACATCCATCGATTCATCCATTGCGGCCCAATTTTGGAGGGGAAAAAAGTGAAAGTAGATGTGTAAACATCACCTCAAATCAGTTTTTGGATGGATGGATACTAGCAAACAAAAGTGCTATTTTTTGGGAAGAAGGAAAAGAAGTCGCGAAATGTGGAGATCCACAGGAAATTCTTGTGTGTTTTTTTTTTTTTTTTGCTGTCCATATCTACTTTTTATTGTATTGACGTACATTTAAATCAAATTTAGAGGACGACTGCGCCGTTGACTTTAGCCTGTGCATAAATCTGACCCTTTCTTTTCAATGCTTGCTTACAAGAACATCAGAATAATTCCTCTGATTTTCAACAAACTGGTAATACTGTAAAACAGACACATTGGAGCACATGGAAACTAGATCGACACACTTATTTAACATATTCATCTAAATACGTCCAATTAAAGAAAACCCTCAAGTCAACACTGTCCAACGGCAATTATTCCATCTTCTGCGTGGCCGACTGACTGACGCATTATGCGGTGCTTCTGCCCTATGCGAGCCATTTCCATGGCATCCCCATCATCCCAATGTGAACGTCTCACATCTCATTCAGTGGTCAGTAATGTTCGAATGTGTTTGTCTGTGCACTGTCTGCTTTTCTCTTTTACGTTGCATCGTAATAAACATTGAAAGGGGAGTGGCCAGATTAGAGCACAGGTCACCAACTCTGGTCCTCGAAGGCCCCTATTCTCTCTTTCTCTTCTCCAGGACACCTGATTCAAATGATCAACTCATCAGCAAGCTTTGCAGAAGCCTGATCACGATCCTGATCATTTGAATGAGGTGTGTTGGAGGAGGGAAACATCTGAAACATGCAGCATGGGGACCTTGAAGGACCGGAGTTGGTGAGCCCTGCATTAGAGGGTGCTCCAGTGACCTCAGGGCCTATTGGTTCAACCCCCATAAAAGTGAGAGCTGCATCTCATGTCTGTGTGCACCCGTGTGTGTGTGTGTGTGTGTGTGTGTGTGTGTGTGTGTGTCCGAGGGGATTCGTACACTTGATCGCTGTCACATTCAATGTGTGTGTGTGTGTGTGTGTGTGTGTGTGTGTGTGTGTGTGTGTGTGTGTGTGTGTGTGTGTGTGTGTGTGTGTGTGTGTTTGTTGTGGTAACTTTGCTAACTAAAGCAGTGTGTATAGCGTCTCAGCAAAGGTGTCCTGGGTGACCTCCATTAGACTACGTGCAGGTGGATACACATACACGATAAAATTACATTAATCTATTAATACAATTTAAATAATGCTTAATAATCGCGTCTTTCTTTTTTCTTCTACTATAAAGAAGTTGTCATTTGAGTCCAACAATGAAACGTCTTTCGAGGAAAATTTCTTGACATTGTTGCGCCTCTCAACTCTCACTTTTATTTTTACTGAAGGAATGATCGAATTGTTTCACTTGCAAAGGGCATTAGAAAGTAAAACAAGTGCGGGCTCTTGTGTGGGAGAGACTTCCTTTAAGAAAAAAAACCACACAGACACAGTAAATGTTGATTTGGATTAGGTTAAATAGACTATATTACCGAATGAAGAGCACACGTGCTGTGAGTGCTTGTGGGAGCAGCATGGAGGCATGCAGAGGCACATTCTTGACATGTAACATGTGCTAATAGCCGCGGTTTAAATTAAAAGCCTTCGGGGACTTTCCTCCCCACCTCCCATCCTCTGCTTCTTAATCAGAGGCAATCAGCGCTCTGTGCTCTGTGTCCGTCAAGTACGAGTTGATGCAGGGCAGATTTATAGCTCGCAGATTTATTGCGTATGCTTTCCTGAACTGATTCAATTGTTTCCAGTATGGAAAACACATCAGTAGAGGGAGTTTTTTTTTTTTTTTCCTCGCAGCATTGATGCTGATGTGATTTTACTCAATAATAAAATGTCTGTGGAAAAACAGTGCCTCGACAAAACCAGGGTTATCTAAAAAAACGAGATCAGCATTGAACTCCAAAATTCAGAACAGAGCAAACCAAATTAATGGACGTCATCATTCCGCCTCAGTCATAAAAGAAGAAAGGCTAACTTATTTGACAGCTCAAATTAATTCAGTCATTTTACATGCTAATGACTCTCTTGCGATAATTGAATCGTAATGTATTTTTAAGGGACAATAAAAGCGTCATGGTAATGGAGCGTGCCGGGTGATATGGAAACAGAACATGGGTACCATGTGCATGTTTTAGCAGATGTGATTGCGGGAGCAAATTAAGCGCATTCAAAATTGCCGTGTTTCGGCAAGTGTAGAAATGCGACGGGTGGCTTCAGCAGTGCGCATGAGAGGAAACGAGGCTTGATATGCAGTACTGGCAGCACACAGACAGCCCCCCCTTGCCCTGCAGCAACCAGACACTGCTTTTGTTAATTAGTAAATAAAAACAAATCGTGAAACTAATTGAAAAGAATGATAATCATTTACACCGACCAGAGGCATTATTCAATTAGATCCGCTTTTCTGGCTTTGACTCTTCATTTTGCTCTCTTGCAGCCAGCAACAATACAGGAAAATATCATTTATATTATATGCATTTATGAAATGACATCCAATGAATCAATTGCAACTAATTTGTATTTAGGTGACTTACAACACACTTTTTATCTTGCGTAGAGCCAATTTACAGTGGGGTGGTTCGGCCCACGTTTTCAATCGGCTAACATCAATTACAAAAGCTGTATTAAAATTCAGAACACTGCTTCAAAGGGCTATTCGTTTGTCAATATATTTATTATTGTGATGTTGGACTGCAATGCGTCACATTTGGCGCACGCCGCTTTATAGATTAGCGCATTAAAAAGTAAAAGTCAGTCTAGCTCATTTGGTGATGTATAACGAGAGTAGTGCGTGTGTGTTTGTGGTCACGTCGTACGTGGGATATGTGTTATACTCAAGTCTATAAAGTTATAAGCGGCGCATGTAATTTTGCTCTCGCTGCTTTCAAATAAACTAAGACGAGAACAATATTGCAGAAAGGAGAACGTCCTTTCGAAAATACATTCACTGTATTTTATTTGGAGTGGCTCTGCATGAAGGTGGTGGAGGTGGGGGATTTTTTTCTTGGTTGTCTTAGAGAGAGCGCGTGTTCTCACGTAAATCTCACACACACACACACACACACACACACACACACACACGCACACACACACACACACACACACACGTACACATGCATATATACACACAAGCCATGCACACACTTTGGCCACTTGGTTGCCGAGAGCGACAACCCCTGTGGGTGTTCTGTGCTTTCGTAATGACTCCTCAGACAATTTAGAGTGGGGCTCAACGTTGGGGCGACTGGAGAAAATTACTTTAAATCAACGACAGATTATACTGTAGCTTGTTTGTCCAAATACTGTCACATTTTCAAGTTGGATGTACACCTGTTAGAGTTATACGTGTGTTTTGTTTTGTTTTTTTTCCATAGTGATGGTAAGGGGCAAATTTATAATGATCAACGATGTGTCTGACGTGGATACAATGCAATAATTTGTTACATTGTGTCAAGATAACACATGTTGTGCAAGTAGCGTGGCGTGGGAAATGTGTGTGAAGAAGTGAGTCGGTGCTGTGACCTCTGACCTCAGGGTGTAAAAGTTTTTACAGTGGTGCCTTGAGATAGCAGTGCCACGACTTTTGAGTTTTTGGAGACAGGGGGCATCGTTCGGCCAATGTTTTTGCTTTGACTTCAGAGTCATAATTTGCTATACAAGCGCTGTATGGTGGCAGCGAACTTAACTCAATACAGAGTGAAGAATTCTTCACAAAAGAAGCTTCAGGCTGTTTAATGCAACTCCCAATTGAGGTTTACTCTTGAACTAAATATAAAGAATGAATTACACAATGTGTATTTTATATCCGTAATGCTAAGACATCATGGAAAATTCCATACACGGGCTCATGAATAGCATCATTGTGGCGATGTAATAACGCTTCCAATAATAGTGGATATTTACGCACACACGGTGCATTAACGCATGCGGACGGATAATATAACAATATTCACAGGCAGATATTCTTTATCTTCTGCAAAAATTGTCAAATAAACAGCAACTGCAATTTGCAGATTCACAGGTGTTGCGAAAGTCTTGTTCTTATGTGACTCCGTGACTTTATTATACTACCCTCAGGTGGCTGAGTTGCAACCACCAGAAGCAGCCACATTGAATTAGTTATGCTGCACAAATGTTTTCATTATTTATATTCGATTTAATTGTGTTATTATGACATGGTTTTATGAAGTAAATATGACAGAGTGCCATTCGTTTTTTTATTACGTATCAAAAAACACATCGTAAAAAGTTTTGTTGATTCTTTTTCGGTGAGGCTGGAACGCATTAATGTCATTTTAATTCATTTTCAAGAATGAAAAATGATTTGAGAAGAGTTCTGATTTATGAGCATAGGCACGGTCCACATCCAATTTGTACCATGGGGCACCGCTGGAGTTCAATCCCTTGCTTCGAATGTTCGTGTCCACCTGTGTGCATGGTGTGACATATGAGAGGGCGCACACACACGCACACACACACACACACACACACACGCACACACATCCAGGGATTGGGGTTCCCAATAATCCCAGTAAAAGTCCATGGCCCATTCATGGAAAATGCGCGAGCTGTGTCAGGAAGAGCATCTGGTATAAAAACCAAGTCAAAAATATTACATGAGTGGGTTCCTGTAATGATCCCTGACAAGGGAAAATTGCTTGTTCCTCTTCGAAAAATCTTGATACAACGTGGTGGGTCAAATCCTCAACCCAATGTATTGAACATAAATAACCCAACATTGGCTCAGCCTCTTTTGGACCCAATACTGAGTTAGCTATTTCCCGCAATTTGGGTTACTTCTGATCCTGCAGTTTGTGTGTATGTGTGTTTTATTTTACCTTGAAGAAGCCTTTGCAGCCCTCACATGTGCGGACGCCGTAGTGCTGGCAGGCCGCGTTGTCTCCACACACGGCGCAGGTGCCCTCTCCTTGAGGGCCACGTGGCGGGGGCGAGGGCAGGCTGTCTCCGAGTAAGGGGCCGCAGGGGCCAAGAGCCAAGGAACGGAACGCAAGGCTGGTGCCCCCGGCCCCGCGGTGCAGCTGGTACATGGGCTGCTGCTCCAGGGGTGGGCCGTGAGCATGGGAGACCGAGGAGGACGTGGAGGAAGAGGAGGAGGACGTGCGGACCAGGCCTCCTCCGATAGTCTCGTAGCCCCCCACGCTGCCCCCGCTGTGGGGCGGCGAGTGCTGGTAGAAGTGCGGAAAACGGGGCGACTTTAGGGAGCCCGCATCCAGGCTGGAGCCCATGGAATGGGGGTGCGAGGGAGGGACCAGTGAGTGCTCCTCCCACAGGAAAGAGGTGCCGGGCTGCGGGGGCATGGAAGGGGTGGTGGGCGTGGATGGGGGAGACTGTTTAAAGTACATGGCGGAGGAGGACAGGGCCCCCAGTTGCGGCACCGTTGGGTAGCTGTCCTCCTCCTTCTTGATGGCGGGCCTGTGCGCAGGCATCTGGTAGAGGCAGGACGACTTGGGCTCGTAGCCCCCCTCCACGAACACGTTGAAGCTGGGCAGAGAGGTGGTGGCCGCAGCGGCGGATATCTCGCCACCGTCCAGGTCCAGCTTGGTGTAGTCAGAGGTCATGAGGTCAGAAGCGTAGCTGTCCCCCTGGTAGCCGAAGGACTGGCCGGAGTAGGCGGAGCCTGGGGGGGTGGGCCCATACTGAGCCTGCACGCAGGGCATGTCTGTTGGGAAAACACAGCGCACGAGGACAGTTAAGAGAGATCACAACACGTGGACCCAAAACCATATTAAAAAGCTGTAATAAAATGTTAGGACTGTCATTAGTCAGGGAGGTGAATGTGATGACACGCTAGTTAATCACTTTTTTGAACACAGGAACGGGACTTTAACAAGGTTTGATGCAGCGCAGCAGAGTGAGGCCAGGAGCTGTGAGACAGACATGCACACATGGGGGATGAACAGTAAAAAATGCACAGCTCAATTGGAACAGACAGTTGTCAAAATTGTTATGTTCCCCGCTAGATCATCATGCACCCCCTGATTTATTGTGGATTGACAAGCGGCCGTTAATGGAAATTTCAGAATACAAGTAAGCTTGAATTTAGAGCTGAGCGACTTCAGTGTAGTATCATGTTTATAGCGCAATATTCTAGGCATTTTGGTGTTTAACTATACAATCTTGAATTCTCTTTGGTTTATGTGTCATTTTTACAGTTCACCTCAACTACGAGTGACAAATACACTGCTTAGAGAAAGCAAGGTTTCCCTATTATTTGGAGAAGTGTGTGAGCAAGAGAGTAAAAACGGGCGCTAATGCCCACCACACACTGTGCGACGTGGCCGACTGAACGCGACAAAAAATTCTATGAGCGACTCACGCCAAGCGCTTTACCCTCCAAATTTCAAACCGTAGCAAAACTACCGACAGACAATTGATCGCTCATGACAACTAGTTTAAGAACCATGCACACTCCACGACAGTTCAGTGGAATTTGCTTGCGTTGATCGGTGTGCGACGAGCAGTCTCCGTAGATGTTAGTGGCGACGGCAAAAGTTAATCTAGAAAGAGAAGCCCAAGCCGAAGACCAGGGCAAGTTCATGACCTCTGCATGTAGGTCAGTGAGATGCTAAGGCAGGTAATGTTACAGTAAATAATAATGGAACGCCATAATGGTGCTGGATGCACACACACACACACACACACACACACACACACACACACACACACACGCACACACACACACACACACACACACACACACACACACACACAGTTACACATGACTTCCTTTTGATTTGATCTGGACACAGCCACACTTGATTTGTGTGTTTAGTGTATATCCTTATCAAACTGCTTTTACGTCATATGCCAACATGCGACTTAAGTGTGTGTATGTGTGTGTGTGTGTGTGTGTGTGTGTGTGTGTGTGTGTGTGTGTGTGTGTGTGTG